ATACAACGACGCACCCTAAACTGTAGTGAAACAGAAGCTGCCAACTTTATCCCGTTACTTTGATTTATTCGGTCGAAATAAGAAATATAAAATGTCCTCTATGCACGAGGAAACGTTGTCAAAAACTTGCCGGGGTTCCGTCTGATAAATGTACTGCATTATAAGCTATTCATCTTCATGGTAGACTAAGGATTCTTATGGGGTAGACAAAGAGAAATAAATCCATATAGTACTACAATTCATGTAAGTGGGAAAGGGATTATGAAGTATCACTCTCATATCAGCTGTTTCTTGCCTACTGCTGAATATAGGCCTCCTTCTATTGGGAAGTTTTGCTAGTAAATGCCACGATTAGCAGGCGGGTTGGCTACCGTAATTAGGATTTGGTTATGTTTAAAGAGCGACGCTGCTGCCGATCCCTTAACCATTAAGTTCCCTTAGTCACCTCTTACCCCTGCCTTCTAACCGGTGGGTAACCCACGGGTAAGAAAGAGGTGGCCCAATCTATGCCGGGACCATACCACGACGACTAAAATATGAATACATAGGGAGGAATGGGATTTTTAGTAATGGAGACTGAGAATCCCATTGCTAGCAATATACCCAACCAGTCGACCTCCTCGCGGTTCCCTTTGGAAACTATCATAGTTAATTCCTGATGAATTCATCATGATGGGCAAACTGGCCTGTTTTCATTTTAATCGATCACCCTTCACTGGTGCTCCGCAAGCGTATACCGTTAGCGCAGGCGGGGTTACCATTCCATTTTCATCCATCAAAAAAAAATGGATAAATGGCTCGACCATAAGACAGTCTAATGATGTCCAATAGTAGAAGAAATACAAATTCTATTAACTGATTATGTTTTAATTGTTTCTAGTTTCATTTAGAGAGAACTTATGTGACAATCGAGTCGATTCTGAGGCGTCTTCCTCTAAATCAATCTCTAAAATTAATATTTCACATTCATATCAAACAGAAATTTTATTCTTAAGACCAATATATATATATATATATCTGTCCATATGGACATACATCCGTCCGTCCGTCCGTCCGTCCGTCCGTCCGTCCGTCTATTTCTTTAATCGTTAGTACAAACAAATATGTACATAGCGGACTAAATACTAAAAGCATTCTCTCCCAGTCAACCATAGGAAAGTGTCAGAATACTCGAATGCGGTACTAGTAATTATTGATATATGTACATACATACTAAAATTACATATATAAACGAATAAATATATATAAATAGCAAATATACTTACACATATATGACATATACTATATTATACATGAAATTGAGAATAATATAAAGTACTTACTGTTCGAGTAGAGTAAAAAAAAAAGTGGGCATGAACGTTTTGTTTTGAAAGACGGTTTAGTCGGTAGTCTCTTAATGGTATCAGGAAGCGCGTTCCAGAGTCGTGAAGAATGCAGGAGAAAAGAATTTGAAGCGAAACCAGTACAGTGATAGGGGATAGATAGTTGGAGAGTATCACTGGAACGAAGGTATAACATTGTACAAACTGCATACAATGGAACATCGCCGTTGTGCGTCAGACGAACTTCCCAGTTGATATCGGACGGATGTGTCCCTCACATAGTAACATGTCACTTGATGTTATTAGGTCATTCGGTGTTGTATTTGGTTAAAGGTCAAATTATTGTCAATGTCGTGTTTTTTTTTATTTGTTACCTCATAAACTAGCTTCGTTTAACAAGTTAAATGGCATTTTCTTAGTTTGTAGTGATTCTTCTCCTTCCTTCTGTAATATTTTACTATAATATTGCCTTGTGTGTGCTACGTATATATTTATATGTGTATGTATATGTATTATATATTATTTGTTATAATAAGTAGTTTAATAAATGGCATATTTGTTTTACTTCGTTCCAATCTGCCTACCCTAATGGGAGACAGGCGTGACAGATATGTATGTATGTATGTATGTATAAATGGCATGTATTACATATTTTTGTGCAGTGTATGGTTTTCGTATTTCATGCACGTAAAAATTACTAATTCACTTTTGCCACCTATCTACCCACTTCTACTCGTATCTGTTCTCCTTTAATCAAAGGTTGTCTGTAAGAGATTTCCATAGCGATAATGTGTATGGCAATATAAGATAGCCTTTTGTACCTTTATGTATATATTTTAATCTGTAATATCTGGTATTGTATTTCACTATAGAAATTTTAATAAAATCGGTTCAATAGTTTCTAGATTAAAATGATGAAATGTTTTCCGAAATTTCGGGGACGAACTAAATAGAAATTAGATGTTAAAATTACTTAATACATGCCGCTTAAAATTATTAAAAATATTAAAATATCGTTCCTCTGGGCTATTAGGATAGGATTTATGACGAACGAAACGTTAAGTTCCATTTATTGGGTCGATTTAGGTACGAAGAAAAACACGAAATTGAGTCCGAAATTTCGGAATTTCATTTCATGGTAGGCCCCCTGGTTTTATCTCATAACGAGTTCTTACCACGATTATTTATTTGTTTGGATAACAAATCATTACTAATGTGAAAGTGCGTTTATTTGTTACATCTTGGCACCTTAACAACTCAACTAAACAACGAAATTTGGTATACAGGTACTTTATGGGATGGAGACATAGGCTACATTTCACCCCGACCAGTTAACGGTCATGCGGACGAAGTCGCGGGTAAACACTAATAATAAATAAATAAATAATCGTGATTAGTATGTCGGACGGTAGATAAAGGCAATGGACTTAAGTAATTATAAAAGGCTGATTCGACAATATGAATTTATAAAGTATCGAAGTATCGAAATAAGATGGCGTCTACGCCATCTTATTACGCACTAGTGATGTACCACAATCAACATATTTACATTGGTGGTGTATATTAAATAAAATCATAACAATAGGAACTAGGCATTGGTAATATCGCCACCGCACCAATATCTATGCATGTATTGATTTCCTTTCAAGATTAATGGCGTAAAAAGGTCATTATCAATTTCGATATTGCACATATAGATCGTATGGTCGTAAATGGTATGGTAACCCCGCCTGCGCTAACGGTATACGCTTGCGGAGCACCAGTGAAGGGTGATAGATGAGAATGAAAACAGGCCAGTTAGCCCATCATGATGAATTCATCAGAAATTAACCATGATAGTTTCCAGGGGGAACCGCGAGGAGGTCGACCTGGTTGGGTATATTGCTAGCAATGGGATTCTCAGTCTCCATTAGTAACAATCCCTTTCCCCCCCATACCTATCTATTATATTAATATATTAATTTCAATTGAGTTCTTCATTTCGATATTGGATAACAGATATTTAATATATTCATTATTGGACCAATATATAGATATTGCAATCAAAATATATACATATTCTTATATATTACCCATCCCTAATAGGAACCTATTAATTATATTTAATGTGGATGCAGTTGGTTCAGGACCGTTTCTTATGGCAGTTTATGGGAGATACCTATGTCCAGCAGTGGACAGATATGAGTGAAATGATAATGATTAAATTTCTCAAAACACTGCGCAACGGACAGGTGACGTCGTGAATTCAGAAAAAAAAAAGTAAGTACATTTGGCGCAAACAAACGCGTACGCACGACTGACTCACGAAACTATACTGGTAATTTGAGTCACGTACAGGTGCACAGCATTGTTAATGGTGATGTCAGTCGGGCTGGTGGTCACTCGACGGTAACTGGTAGCTTACAGGCATGAACAGTATCTGGAGTGAATTCGCCACGATGAGTCAACTGTCCTTACTTTATCTTCACCTATCATCACTTACCAATAATCGATGATAAAGTATGGTAAAGGTAGGGGTACCGTGAACCAATAATGTAAGCAAGGGGGAAAGGGATTGTTAATATTGGGGTCTAAGTGACCCATTACTAGCAAAAAATACGCTATCAGGTCGACCTCCACGTGGGGAACCATCTGGAACTATTAATTCTAGTGGAATTCGTCACGATGGGCGTTCATCCTTACCAATCATCCCTCACTGGTGGTCATCATCATCCATTAAAAAATTATGTAAGCAAGACTACCATTTCATTTTCAACCTATTTCAAAATGAAGAAGGTTCTACATTAGATTGTATTTTTTTTATGCTTGTTACCTCATAACTCCGTCAGTCGTAAACTAATTTGAAAAAATCTTTTTTTATCTAAAAGGATATACTTACAGATTGGTTCCATCGTAATTTTATCAAAATTGGTTTAATAACTTAGTCTTTAGATCAAAATCACTGGTTTTGTCACATTTGAAGTCAAATTTTTTTGTAGGACACAATCTTTACTATTATTGAAAATTAATATATAATTATAAATGTCATCCTCCGTGGCGCAGCGGTCAACACGCCTGCCTCTGACGTAAAGGCCCCGGGTTCGATCCCCGGCCAGGTCATGATGGAAAACGATCTTTTCCTGATTGGTGAAAATGGTATGGTAACCCCGCCTGCGCTAACGGGATACGCTGGCGGAGCACCAGTGAAGGGTGATCGATGAGAATGAAAACAGGCCAGTTAGCCTATCATGATGAATTCATCAGGAATTAACCATGATAGTTTCCAGGGAGAACCGCGAGGAGGTCGACCTGGTTAGGTTAGCAATGGGATTCTCAGTCTCCATTACTAACAATCCCTTTCCCTCCTATTAAAAGATATTAGTAACACCTAATTATTAATTTTTTTTTCTATTTGGTTGGTCGATATAGCACCTAATTATATCAACAAGGCAGAATTTGACCGTATATCCTTTTATCTGATAGGGAATATGCTCTTTCCATTTCCATCTAAACTTATAAAGAGGAAAGATTATTTGTAATAAAAAAAACTCAAAAGCACTTAACCGACTTTAAAAATTATTTCACCTATAGAAATATCAGCAAACAACATGGGCTGTATTTAAAAAAAAATTAGACATTATTTATATATCTAACCGTGCGAAGCTAAGAGGGCTCGCTAGTATCCTATAAAATGCTCACCTCGTCCGCTGGCTTGGTGGGCGTGATGGCGACGGTCTCGTTGAAGCACAGACACGCGCAGTAGTGCCGGTTCGCGTCCACGTCCGTCAGCACGGACACGTAGAACCGGGGCTCGGACCGCTCCGTCGACAGCGCCCATCCTTGTGGCTGGCAAAACTGTACACAACAAGGAATCGGTCACATCGCAGCCTAGTGTCCACTCACAGAGATCTGCTCGTAAAAGAAAGCAGATTTTGATCGCACTTAAAATAGAGTTTTAAAATACTGAAATAGTCTTTTTTTAGCCCCCGACGCAAAAATAGGGGTGTTAAAAGTTTGACAAGTCTGTGTGTCTGTCTGTAGCATGATAGCTCGTCGTAGTGGAACGGATACTAAAGCATGGACTACAGCATGGGGTTCTTCAAAAGGGGGGTAAAGAGGTTTCTTCAGAGTCGGCAACGCACGCATCTGGTATTGCAGATGTTCATAGGCTACGGTAACCACTTACCATCAGGTGGACCGTATGCTTGTTTGCCACCTCAGTGGTATAAAAAAAAAGCTGATTTTAATATCACGCTGATCATCGGCATTCAGAGCTCATAAGGAATTATACATATTGGTCTGTCAGTGGCAACCATCAGCGTGACACTAAAACCAACCTTAGAATGGCAAACAATCTGATGGCACACCTGATTGGAAAATTAGTATCGTCGCCTATAGGCGAGTTTGACAGAATAAATTGTGATCTTATAGTACCCACTATTCTTGAGACCAAATTTTTGATTCCGCACCCCGTAATTTCACAGCCATGTACTTCTTGACTTGACTTTTTGCTCTTAGCGCTTGTGTCAAATACCCGTATGAGACAGAGATCATCATCATCAGATGATCATTTGATACTGCACTAACATACCCATACACCAGTTCGATTTCAAATAATTTTCCTACCGAGGCACTCCTTGGAGATTTCAGCATGGAGTACATCAAAAAGCATGTATTAAGGTTTCGGCAACGCGCGCGTGACATTCTTGGTATTCATAGGGCGTCCATAGGCTACGGGTAACCCCGTTTACCATCAGACGGGCCATAAGCTTGTTTGCTACCATAGTAGTATAAAAAAAACCTCTGTCTCGTGTTTCTGCCACAAGCGAGTTTCATCCAAACTAGTTCTTTTAACAAAAGATTGTTATATTCCTTTCTGATTTATACAATGGCGTGGCAATTATGCATACAATGCGCGATGGTAAGCGACTGCCGCAACTCTTGAACGCTGAAAACACTGGAACCATCTCATAAAACTTTAATAACGCAATTACCCATTCTATGCCCTCGTGAAACGGTGTATCGTCCCAGTTGGTTTCAGGAAATCGCTGAAGGATCACGCCGCTACTTAGACCGCCACCTGGAACAATTTCAAATTGTTATTACTAGCTACATACCGTGGTTTGACTCGTGTGAACTAGGACAAAAAGAATTCACGTCTTAATCTACGATATGATCCGTACAACATCTCTAATGTATTAAACTTATCATATGTGCGTCAAATTATAATGTATTTAGTCCTTTGACTGCGGTCCCGGGATCCCTAGTTTAAATCCCAACCTAAATAAACCTCTAAATACCAGAGGGAGACTTTGTACAAAAGTCGATTGCTTGGGTACCTCTGTCCCATTCGTGTTTCTACCGTGAAGCAGTTGTGTTTGCATGGCTGTGTTTCGGTTTGAAGGGTGGGATATGGCGTGAATTTACTGGGTACAGAGGAATAACATCTGAGTCCTCAGGAGTGGCAACGCATGGGCAGTATCATGGGCGAAACAGTATACTCTGTTATGTCCATGGTACTGCTCATGTCTATAGGCGACGGTTACCACTTTACATCAGGTGGGCCGTCAGCTTGTTTGCCATTCTAAGTTGTATAAAAAAAAAAAAATTCATAATTTAAAATTTCATTTGCTTCGTGTTTTGGAAGGCTTCGTGTGTACAAGGTGACGCCACCCTTACATGAATAGTAGTTAATACATCTATTTATTTCATCAACACATAGTAAGCATAGCAAAAATATAATGTATATTTATTATCTATTTCGAATTCAATACATACGGGTATGGATAGCGCTAAAATAAAAAAGACTGGGCATTTTATTTCAATCAAACGTCTTTCAAATGCATTACACTTCGAACGGAACCATATTGAAGCATTCACACTTGTAACAAAATACAATAAATAAATCCCAAGGAAATAAAATAAGGTGATTTTCTGGAACATGCTTCATGAAACGTGGACTTGATTGATTCCATTGTCAACATTTCCCTGCATCAAGCGATAAAAATACTGAGGGTTATCATCAAATACTATTCTTATCCAGTTTAGATTTTTTTACTCGATATTGTAACACTTGTGAGATGTGACCAGAAATGTGGCAGTATAATATATATATTCGTTATTGCACTAAAACATACAGTAACAACAATAAGTTAGTTAACAATGTTAGCAAAAGCGAACTTATCTCTAAAAGAGATCTCTTCCAGTCAACCTAACACAGTGTCATAGGAAGTAGTGAGATTAAAGATTAAATTTTATTTCGCAAAAAAATTTACTACTATCATGAACACATACACGCACACCCATAAACAAAGATGTTTCATAGAAATGTAAGATATCACGCGGAATCGCGTATCTATTAAATTTTACTTCGCGACAAGCAGTTTCATGCACCAGTAAGAAAAATTAAGTAGTTTCAATCGATGCAAAACTCAAATGGTAGATAGAAATCATCTCTATTCACTGGGAAAAAATATGAAATTCGGTTAAAAAATGACGATGAAGCTACATAACATAATTGCAAAAAATTCGGATGGCTTCATATCGTTATTTTATGGTTAAAATTGCTTAAAAGCATAGGACAATTTCTACAAAAGTCGTGTGCTTGGGCACCTCTGTCCCACTCATGTTTCTGTTATCAAATAGATATGTGTTTGCATGGATGCATTTCTATTCGAAACATGAGATATGTCAATTAAATTACAGAAGCCACGTCTTTAATCCTCACCTAAGCTATGGGCATTATGTATACGGTGCTATACATATCTATAGGCAACGGTTATCACTTTCCATCAGGTAAACCGTCAGGTTCTTCGCCACTTCTAAATAATAAAAAAAAAAAAATTAAAACACGTTTATGATAAATCACTCGCCTCAAACTTTCATGCCATATCGGATTTGTTTACAACAGATTAACAAGACGACTACGGTTACACGGCATCCAATTAGTTACCGCCAATTATGGTGGGTGTAAGTCTGGCAACCCGTAGAACATAATAAAAGAAATAAGAACTTATGCAACGAGCAGCAGCTCTTAAAACGTCTCCAAAGCCTAACTGCGGTTGCCAACCCATTGGCAAAACCCTCTAGAGAGCGGCATACGTTCAACATTGGACAGTTAAAAGCTGATACGGTGATGATGATGATGATGAAGCACTTTTTTTATGAATAATAATGGAATGGTTACCCCGCTTGCGCTATCGGTATACGCTGGCAGGGCACCAGTGATAGATGACTGATGAGGATGAAAGCAAGTCAGTTAACCCATCGTGACGAATTTCACAAGAATTAACCACGATGGTTTTCAGGGGGAACTACGTGGAGGTCGACCTGATAGGGTATATTGTTAGTAATGGGGCTGTTAGATCCCATTATTAACAATCCCTTCCCCCCTGATGAAGCACTTATGGCATGCCTGTGTTAAAACAGTGAATAATGCATCAAAATTTCTTGAACCCACCATAACAGCATTTCACTTTTTAGTCTTAACTAACTGCTCACCCCGAGTCCGCATGGGTATACTAATGAAGAAAATGACACCAAACCTTCACTCTATCTTATTTTTTTTTATATTGAAATCCATTATTTTTACTTTTTCGTACGACTTTTCAAACTTTTATTCAAACTTTGACATGAGAATTAAAAACATAACAAAACAGGGGGAAAGGGATTGTTAGTGATGGGATCTAAATAACCAACCTGTAGACATATTTTAATGTGTACAAAAATATAAATGAATAGATAAATAAAATGTAATTATTATTTGATTTGACTTTGAAATTTACTATCCGGATTTTCGATTATACGGAATACTCCTGTTTTAATATTTGATACTAATGTAGTTGTTTCAATAATGTTATTAACTCTGAACAATTACACCTGTATGAAATATATGATGAAAACAGGCCGTGATGAATTCGTCGAGAATTAACCACAACAGTTTCTAGGGGGGATGGTTACATACACTAGATAGGTAAAGCCTGCAATTATAGAACTTTCACTAACCGATGCGTATCATAAATTAAGAAAACCAGTTCGTCCTAGAGACAGTGGCGAATTTCGCCCATCGCGTTGCAAATGTAAACATTTATACGAACATACTATCATGCATTATCATCAAATTAGCCTAGTACATTCTATTGCTGGATTACAACTATCACAACCCATCTTTGGAATCAACTTCCAGCAACAGTATTTCACCACCACCACCAATGTATGATAAGTATTTGTAATTAGTAAATAATTTTACCATGCCATTTTTTTTAAATCGATATTCAAAAATAAGATAAAATATAATACTTATTAATATTATAAATTTTAAAATAAATTTGGTTGATTTGTTACTTTTCGGCGCCGTTTTGAGTCATAAACCAACCAATCGTCATGAAATTTAATATATATATGTAGTATTCGGGGTGAAAAAGAACATAGGCCACTTTTTTGCTGTGCGACGTTTAAGAGCTTATTAAAAAAAACTCTAAGTACCATAGATACAAAATGTAATTATAATAACATGAAACTAATTAAAATGCGGTCTAACTTTTCCTGCTTTGTTATTTCCTTTTAATGTACGCTACACGTTTATTATTTATCCTAAGCAAAGCCCTATGGCGCTATATATACAGGGAAGGAAATAAAAGTAAATTATTACATGTACATTTTGTTCTTTATAATGACAAAAAAAAAATATACCAATGAACGACGAGATGTTTCATAGACACATTTTTTTTAATGGGTGATAATGGTATGGTAACCCCGTCTGCGCTATTGGTATCCACTGGCGGGGCACCAGTGAGGGATTACAGATGAAGATGAAAGTAGGTTAGTTGGCCCATCCTGACGAATTAAACTAGAATTAGTCACGATGGTTTCCAGGGGGAACCACGTGGAGGTCGACCCATAGACACATATTGAAAATATTTGAATTTAGAATGTGGTATCATGTTCACAAATAAATTACTCCTTAATACTGTTCTTTGTCAAGAAAGATAGAATAACATAATAAAAAAAAACGCGGTTTTAGGCATCACACAATTAATTTGGGACAAAAATCAGAGACAGTCTTATCAAATACAAAAAAAAAGAATTATCATAATCGATTCAAATTGGCGAAATAATCGTCCAACACAGCTACCAGAAAATAGACAAAATGGAAACCACCGTACACGTTCCAAATTATTAACCTCCCGGGGAAATGGGGTAACTGGGTGTAGGTAATTTAATTTACTTGAAAATGCTCGAAGCACGTTCCTCCCTACTGTACCCACGATCTTAAACACCGATCAGTACTCGTCAACGTTTTTCCCTACGAAAACACCGCCATCCAATTGATTGAAGGGGGCGCAGAAAAATGTACGCCGCATACTTTTTAGGGAACACCCAAAAATAGCTTCTAATGAACACGAATAAGGGACATGGTGTGATTGACCTATTTTTCGTGCGCCGTGCCTCGTGCACCTAATTATGTCTTACCTATTGCGCTTTAACAAAAATATGGTAGTCTCGTCATAGGTAGATTTTATTTAATACATAAAAAATCCACCTTACATCAAATTCCTTGCTCGATTTTTTTATAATCAATAGCAAACAGGCTAATAGTCCAACTGATGGGAACTGGTAACCGTCGCCTATAGACATAGACAACACCATAGGGATCACAGAATACACTATGATATCCATGGTGTCATGCGTTGCCATATCTGAGTATTATAGTGTTATGTCTCCGTACTCTATAATCTCATTCTCATACCTTCTAAACCTAAACAAAATCATGGAAGCACAATTACTTCATGGCAAAAGCAAGAGCGAGACAAAGATCAAAGGCCAATTTTTTTATTTAACCACTTTCATAATCATCTCCTCTCCCAATAGAACCCATCTATCCTTTATAGATGGGCCTCTCCGATCCATATATCCTTCTATTTTCGCATTATATATATTTTTCATCAATCGATAGTAGTGCACCTTGAAATTCATAGTACTATTCGTGTCTATAAGCGACGGTTACCACATTCGATAAGGTGGACCGTCTGCTTGTTTCTAAATCATTACAAATGCTACTTTATAATGAGAGTATTTGGA